CATGTGTTTAATTGCAAGCAAGTTAGTTGATCTTTTAACTGATGCTTCTTTCTAGTTTACCATGCAACCTCTTAATCCAGATTATGATTATGTTTTACTTACTCTCCAAATAAAATATTAAATTGTCTTACGCTATCGTATCTTGTTTAACTCATAACAGTGATATAATCTATAGATTCTATAATAAAATATTCACTTTAATATTTCTTTATTTTACTTTCTAGATTTCCCACCTACTGAGAGCCTGGAATGAGGAACAAATCCCGGAAGAGTGGTGTATTGGAATCGTTTGCCTGCTACACAAAAAGGGCGACCAATTGGAATGTAGAAACTATAAGGGAATAACCCTCCTTAATACAGCATACAAAACATTTTCGAGGTTCTTATATGGTCGCCTAAGTGCATATTCAGAGGAACTTCTCGGGGAATATCAAAGTGGCTTTAGGCCTGGTCGATCAACAACAGATCAGATCTTTGTGCTAAGGCAAATACTGAAAAAAACCAATGAATTCAATATCGATACAAACCATCTTTTTGTAGACTTCGAATCTGCCTATGATAGTGTCCTAAGAAATAAATTGTATGAAGCCATGAATGAATTCCACATCCCCGATAAACTGATAAGATTGGTTAAGACTACAATGCGTAATGTGGTTTGCAAAGTCGAAATACAGGGCGAACAATCACAGGCGTTTGGAACGCATGTTGGGCTGCGACTGGGAGACGCGCTGGCGTGTCTCCTTTTCAACATAGCACTGGAAAAGGCGATCAGACATGCCCGAATAGACAACAGAGGAAATATTTTTAATAAATCATCCCAAATTTTGTCATATTCAGATGATGTGGACCTAGTTGCCCGCACAACACGCAAGCTAGAAGAAATGTATACCATCTTCTCAACTGCCTCAAAATCTATGGGCCTGCAAGTAAATAAGGAGAAAACTAAGATGATGGCATCAACACCCAACAATAGAGTCAGGAACATCGGTCCCCAATTCACGGTTGATAACTCTACCTTTGAAGTGGTGGACAAATTCACATACCTAGGCTCCCTGATCACTAAAGAGAACGCCATAACGGAAGAAATCAAGCGAAGGATAATAATGGCAAAAGATGCTATTTTGGACTGAGTAGACATATGAGAAGTAGAAACTTAAGTCAAAAAACAAAAATAACCATATACAAAACCCTTATACAGCCAGTGTTGACATATGGATCAGAGACATGGACCATCTCCAAGACAGACGAAGACCTTCTGCTTATATTTGAACGAAGGATCCTGGCATCTGTAAAAATGGTGTTTGGAGAAGGAGATACAACTACGAGGTATACCACAGATATAAACAAATATTTGGTGGTAAAGACGTAGTATCTCTTATAAGAATAGGAAGACTAAGATGGGCAGGACATCTAGCAAGATCACAGCAGAACAACCCTCCTAGAAGAATTCTTATGTCACTGTGGGAAGTAAAAAAAGGGGTAGGCCAAAACTCAGATGGAAGGATGGTGTAGATGAGGATGGTAGAAAGATAGGCGCAGCAAACTAGCAACAATTTTCAATGGATAGAACTGACTGGCGCAATAGACTTGGGAAGGTCGAGGCTCTTTCATAGGGCTGTAGCACCATTGATGATGATGGTATTTTAGTTAATCAATTGGAGGAGAGAAGTCTTGGAAGTTTGAAATCAGAGGAGTTCTCTTGCAAGAGAAATCAATCTTTATCCTGGATTCTATATAATTTAACTCTTGAAAAAATTTTTAGGACATGGACTAGTAACTCAGATGAAATTGCATTCATAAGACGACATAACTCCATGCCTATGCTGACAACATAAGCAAGCTGCACTCCATATTAATAAGGAGATAACAAACATCTCGAACCTGGTAGCAGAGACTATTATGCTGTATCGTTATAAGTGTCACATGTTTGTTACTTTTCTTCAAATAATTATTTTGTTCAAATTTCTATTGTTTTATTCATTTGTTTATTTTAGAACTTTCTTCTACAAGTAGTTGGGGCTCAATTCTTTTAACAAGTAAATACTCTGTTTAATCTTTATTCCCGATCGAGACAAAAAATTGTTGAGAACAATAAAAGTATGCAGATCTTGACACATACTAAGGAATGATTTAGTATAGTCTAAGAATAGTAGAAGGAGGCAGTCATGGCTGTAAAATATTCGAGACTGGACAAACATGACTTCAATTTTAATTTCCCTTGATTCCTTTACTCCATTCTACTGTAGTCCATAAACACATCTCAAATTTTTATGCTCTACTCCAAAGTCGATACGAAATATTTATCAGTTGGTAACTCTGATCTGTCATGTCCATGTCAGTTTTACTTCAATGCAGAAGTAGGGAATGTGTTTTTATGAATATCTTTATCTATTTAAAGAGATGGTTCAGTCCAAAATTCATTTATATTTAAATTTCTTCTGGGGTAGATATTGATATGTTTTCATATCTGTAGTTAATAATTTTTTATATATCTGTCTTATTTTCGACTTTTTTAAACATAACCTCCAAGCGAAGGAATATGTACTACTGGCGAACCAACATTTTGTAAAGGAAAGACTTGTGGCAGGTGAAAAGAGCTGGAATAGGATGTTTGGTACATGTGAAGTATATGACCGAAGACAGATGTGCAAGTAGAGTATATCGGTAAATCTCAGAAGGAAGATACCTACGGAATCGAGTAATTAGATGTCTAAATGTCGTATAAAACGATCTCCAGAAGTTAATATAAAATGATGGATCGAGACGATTGGAAGAGCGTGGTTCAGGAGGCCTGGGCTTTATAAGGGTCATAGTATTGCTAATTAAATCAAATTTTGTTCTACTAATTAACTAAATACTTTAAACTGGACTGCTCTAAGCTGTGAGAAAACTACAGATATGGTAAACCGAATGGTTGATATGTATGACTACTTCTAGAGACGCCTTCATCACGCCAATGAGTGCATACCTGATGTAAACGTACACAAAAATTATCATCTGAAGAATAAATAAAAAATATATTTTTACTGTTTAGAATACAACACCTTGTACAAAAAATCAACCTCCACATATTGATTTTTCTTTTTTATACCCGATCACAACTTCAGTCTATAAAATGTGATGACTTAAATCCTAAATTATATTTGTTTTATTATAAGTGAATTAGCTAATACGTATGACCTAAGATTACAAACATCGATGCCGTACAAAAACGTTAAAAAATATCTAAACCAAAAAATAATAAACAGCAGCCATACGATAGTATCAAAAATATATTTTTCGAAACGAATATTGGGATAATTATGAAAACATATTCTCGTTTTGACTTAGCGGCTACTGTCGGTCGGTTTCGTATATTGGATTGATTTTGCGCGATAGCAAAGTATTAACTTTTTACGAGGTTTGTCCCAAAAGTACCTCTGATCTTCGTTCCTAACTTCGCGTAGAAACGTTCCAAAGGGATACGAGCGTACTCGGTATCTGTTCACGAAGTTGCCACATATCAAATTGCCAAGGCAAAGTGTTTAGTTCGTGATAAGATGCTTTGGTTTACACTGCAGAGACAGATGCAAGTACGAATTTGTAATACGTTTTAAGATTTGTCAGATATACACGGAGATAAAAGCATGATCCACTTAGATGTCGCTCTGAGCATCCAAAAAACCAGTCATTTTGTAATGATTAAAAAACTTTTAGAATTAAAAAAGTTATTTCAAATTCCTTTCTGTATAAGGCTTTAATTCTGCGTCTTCCACCTATATATTCAAACGTTAGTTTGTAACGATGTGCGTTGTCAGCTAGCGCCCTCAGCTTACGCCACAGTCCCACCGCTGGGCGCTGGATATGGAAGACAGGCAAGGTATAAAACAACGTACGCGCAGGAGAGAATCGAGTTTCTGCCAGAGTACTGATCTGGCGGTAACTCCACCGGGTCTTTGGGTACTGACGAAAAACCAATACCTGGGAGTTATATCTAAGTGTTATATCCGCTTCTGCTAGAGTGTTGATCTAGTGGCAGTTCCCGAACCCAGTCTTAGAGTGATCTAAGACGGAACCGTTCCGTGATTAAGTGTTGATTAGTCACTTCCCGCTGCTATTTGAAATATCAATGTGACAAGGATTGATGTTTTATAAATTAACCTCTTTCATTTTTTATTATCATTCTTGATTAGTTTAACAGACAATATGACTAGAAAAATCAACACATTATACGAAACTTTGCGACAGTGGTGGTCATTTTACCTATTTTAACAGCATTTTCCTTTTAATATTTTGCAAAAATAAAACCACGTTATTATGTTTAAGCGTTTTTTACTAGTTTTAATTAAGGGCGTGGTCCCATTTTTCCAAAAACTGTCATTGATACATTTAACATTCTAGCAACCAAAGAATTTCTAATATGTTTAGATAAATTTTGATATGTTAAAAGTTTAAGGGTACAATTGTTAACGCAACTTATTAAGTATCCATTATAACAAATAAAAACTGTGAACAGTACGTAATAAGTAAAGTAACCTGTATGTAGTTAACAATAAGGTGTTTTGCAAGAAGTGCCAGCACTTTCCTAAAAGTATTCAAGATAGGGATGAAAAACAAAATTATATGATTGAAAATTTTCGTTCATTTAATAGATACTACAATTTTAATATAGACGAAAGTAATGGAATTAAAAATTCTTTAGCCCCTAGAAGTGTTTTGCCTTTTTTTTTTAAATTATTCACCTCCTTCTCATTAACAGGTAGTCCCAACTCGTGTTTTATCTAGACAAGGACTTCGAATCGTCAATATTTTTCTATCTCGAACCATCTATTTTAATCGATAATTTTGTTGTCAATTTTTTTAACCAATATTTGGTAACCGTCGATTCGGATTCAGGATTTTTCTTTAATCTACGCTTCACACAACGCCGTTTTTATAAAAATGATTTTTTTCCAATAAACTCAAGTCAATAAAATATTTACATATTTACAGATAGTAAGATCTTCATTTTAGTCATAATGCTAATCGCCTGGATGTTCTGGACACGATCTATTAACTTCGAACCATTGATCTATACACCTAAAAAACAAATAAAATATACGATTAGTTTTTCAAAATCTACAGACAGGAAAGTCGAAGAACTAAACATAAATTTAGCATTGTATTGTGTATATACTTTCAAATATACAGATAACCAAAAAAATGCAACAACTAGAACAAATTTTACGTATAATAATACATTATAATATTCTTATTATTTGATAACATTATAAGCAAATTTGCAACGTCATTTTCGTCAAAAAACTAATACACTTCTCCAAGAAATTAACGCACCACTTTGAAATATTAAAATATTTTATTAGCGTTAATAAAAATTTCCATTGTAATGTTATATTTTGCAAGCCCCTTGTATATGCTATTCGTATGCTCTGTATTTATTGACTGTGTTTTATCGCTATAGTTTTTTTTGCAACAAAACAAAAAGAAGCAAAAAATGTACTAATTCTATAAATATACTAATTTCCAAGTGTTAACGAATTTTATTCCGCTACTGTTTAATTGTTAATTATTGTTACTATAATTGTGTTTATTATGGAGCATCAATCACGTAATTTAACCCGAGACGAATGTGCCCAAGCAGTGATACTGTCGGAAGAAGGTTGGAGGTACCGAAGAATTGGTCGTCGGTTGAATGTGTCCCACACATCCGTCTAACGTGTGTTAGAAAGATTCCTCGAAACTGGGGATCATACTCGCAGACCAGGGCAAGGACGAAACCGGGTAACTACCCCTATTCAAGATCGATTTTTAAGAATTTCTGCTCTTCGACAACGTTTTGTAACACATCGAAGTCTACAAATTCAGCTTTGAGATGTGCATGCTATACAAATTAGTACTTAAACTATTCGCTAGCAACTGTAAATACAACTTAACACTAGGATTGCCGCCCGAGGTCCTCTATTAACTGACAGAGCATTTTACCAGAAACACGTTAATGGTTAAAGGCTGACTGAGAACGAGTGTTATTTACTGATGAATCCCGATTTTGTTTGTACAATAACGACAGACGTGTTCGTGTGTTGCGACGACCCAACGAACGATATGCTCAGTGTAACTTCTCACACACCACATTTTTTGGTGGAGGATCTCTTATGGGGTGGGGTGGTATATCTTTGACTGCACGTACGGACCTAGTTGTCATACAAAATGGAACTGTTACAGCTGAAAGGTACATATTGGAGATCCTGGAGCAACATGTAGTACCATTCGCTCCTTATATCGGTGAAAGTTTCTTACTAATGCAAGATAATGCCAGACCTCACGCTGCACAGATCGTCAGAAATTATCTAGAACAGGTAGAAATTAACAATATGGAATGGCCAGCACATAGTCCGGATTTAAATCCGATTGTAAATCTCTGGGATATCCTTGGTAGGCGATTAAGAGCGACACCGATCCAATAAATATCTGTTTGTAATGCTTAAAGTCGCAAAATTTTATATGTATGTATGTAAAAATTGTTACTATTCTTTTAACTTGTCAAAAACAAAACTATTTTTGTATATTGACTAAAAATTCTATTCTATTCTATCTGTAAGGGTTGTAAGTATGGAAAGTGTCAAAAATGTGGACTGAAACATCATACGCTACTTCATGTAGGCGGTATTCAAAATTCAGGAGATCCACAAAGTTCTGTTTCTCAAGAAACTGTTCATACTTCAACTTCAGGTACTCAAAATTCTTCAATTTTCTTTCATCTTATGCTCCAGAGAGTTAAGTTTTGCTATCAACAGTTTTAATTTTCATAAAGGATGCTCAGATCAGTATCAAACAGTTAAGGCAATCCTAGACTCAGGTTCTCAATCTAATTTCGTTTCTGAGGAGTTGTGTAGTAAATAAGGAGTCAAGAAAGAATCTATAGAAATGTTGGTTTGTGGTATAAGTCAAGTACCTTCGCTTATAAGTTCAAAGTGCTACGTTGAAATACAGGAAACTCATTCAAATTTCTCTCTATCACTGTCTTGCTTGGTATCAAAAAAAATATACAACTGGCATCCTACTTTTCACATTGATAGTAGCAGTCTTCACATTGCTCAAAATATACCTACGTTTAGCTGATCCATCATTTTGAAAACCATTTAAGATTGATATTCTTATTGGATCAAATGCATTTTTGGATCTTCTTCTAGTAGGTCAAATATAATTGGGTAAACGAATGCCAATTCTTCAAAAGACAATGTTTGTTTGGATTATTTCTGGTCCACTTCCTGGGATTCTGCCATGCTGTTCAGTGCAATCTTTCTTGCAATTTCGAATGTCAAGCACTTTCTAAATTCTAGGAAATTAAAGAGTGTTCTAGTTCTAAGAAACAATGAAGGTATATATTCCGCTGAAGGAGTCCCCTGAAGGTCTTGGGGACTCGAGGCATACAGCTGCAAAGCAATTGTATAAGCTTGAACGAAGACTTTCATCTAATCCTCGTCTTAAGGAAATATATTTTCAATTTATGCAAGAGTACATCGATATGCCTAAGTCACTTCACCTAGTCTAAGTCACCACCACCCAGTTTTGAAGAAAGAAAGTTCTACTACCAAACTTCGAGTAGTATTCAATTGTTCTTCTTCTTCTACGTCAGGTAAATCAGCCTTCTTCTGTACGTGCCATCTCCGCTACGAAGGTGGCAATCACCACTGCTATTCTAACAAGATAAGTCAAAAATCGGCAGAAGTATTGGACGATCGCGCAAACGATGGAGTGACAACCTTCCATAGAGGTATTAATCCGCCAATGAACAAGCAGAATTTCTTATAAAGAGGAAGAAGAAGAATAATATCGTAATAGTAGCTCAGATGAAATTGTTTTACATTTCTATGAAAACAAAAACTATCGTACTCTAAAAACTATCTTACTATTTTTAGAACAATCCTTTACACATATATAGTTAAATAGAATAAATAACAAAATATCCAATACCGTACACACCTAGGACAACAATTTAGATATTTGTATCTCAGCCAACGAATTGATATTTATAGCGTGACAGATTAAGAAATTAAATTAATTTGATGGCGTAGAAAAAAACGACGCAGTTGAGATTGATACACAAAGAAATCACCGCTCTTAGAACAATAAGGAAATACGTGAGTATAATAAAGCGGTAATTGCATTGTGTACAAAACACAATACGTACAGAATACTTCAGTGGATTCTGCTAGACAATGTGTTGAAATATGTAATTTACTTTGTGAAATACAATTGTAATATTATCAAGTTATTATCAATGAAATGTGTGGTATAAAATTGAAGAAAGTCTATAAAAATAAGAAAAGTAAAACAATAGTAACCTAGTAATACTTTATTGTTTTATTTTATTCCTAAAAACATAAGGATCTGCAAAAATTAACATTTTAACGATATAACATAACAAAGACGAAAAAATGTCAAAATTTAACGAAATACGACATACGAGAGATCTATCTATTGTCAAATAATATTAATCCGTTAATTGATGACATGGATGGAGAAAAAACTTGAAGCCTTCGAGATATGGCTATAATATTTAGGCCACATTACCAGAGGTACAAAATATGAGATTTTAAGGCTAATAATACAAGGTAAAATCAAGGTTAAAAGATCCATAAGAAGACGAAAAATGTCCTGGCTAAGAAACCTAAGAGAGTGGTATAGTTGCAACTCAGGAAATCTTTTCAGAGCAGCCGCCAATAAGGTACGGATAGCTGTGATGATAGCCAACCTCCGATAGGAGAAGGAACTACAAGAAGAAGAAGTGGAGATAAGGCATCTACGAAGGGGATAATTGAGGATACTTAGGAGAATGACCAATCAACAGCCATTAATGAACAACACAACAAAGAAAAAAACTAACCGATATGGATAACAGATCAGAATGCACCCAGTATACACGAAAAATAGATGGAAGAAATGGGTGAACGAAAGTAATATAACTGAAATGTTATCAAAAAAGAAGTGCCTAGAGAAATCTAGGCACTAGACTGTTATCTGTGCAAAATAACAGTCATATGAAGATTTTGTACAAATATATTAAGATTTAATTTATTAACACATTCACTGCCAGCCATATTTTCGTATATATGCCTCTACAGGCCAATGTTATTATACTGTAGTTTTTTGTATACAAAGCCTTGCCGTTTGATTATTTCGTCAAAATTATTGTTTATTTACGAAATAAATTTAAAAAACCGCGTTGGTCCCATCGGACCAACGTGGCCGGTTGAGGCACTTTCGAATGCCTTTGCGCGCCGTTGGTCCCACTGCAGTGAGAAGCACATGGCACTGCATAACCTAAAATTTTTATATCGGTCTATGTCAACTGTGACTGTGATTGTTATATCAAGTTAAAAGTGTTGATTTTATGAGTTTATCTTCAAAATTATAATATAATGTAAGTGCCAAATATTATTTTTAAGTTATTATTTTATACTTATGTGATATTTTTTCAGAATGTTTCCTCGCAAACGTAAACTGACAACTCAACAGTTACAAAAATATGCAGACAATTTTGGAGAAATGTCAGATGATGAAGACGGTTGGGAACCGTTTGAGAGCTCAGATAGTAATGAATCATTCCAGTATGAGTCCGAATCAAGTCAGAAACTTCATCCAATTCAGAAGTAGAAAATATGCAGACACTTATAAATCAAACAAAACGAGTGAAATCAAGTATTCAGGATCTTGGATCTGTATTACCTTCAACAAATGGTTCAACATCAACAAATCCAGTGTTGCCGATTCAAAAAATGCCAACTAATAGGCAAGAGTCTCCGAATTTGACATCAATATCGGTAGCAGGTTCGCAATCAAATGAAGATCCATTATGGGGACCCACAATTGGAAATTATAAGCCAATAGATTCTTTCTCTATTCCATCGGGAGTGAAACCAGAGGTAGCAGCATTGTTGGTGAGTAGTACACCAGGTGAATTTTTTGATGCTGTAGTAGATGATAAAGTAATATCACTTATTTGCGACGAGACAAACAACTATGCGACCCAATTTCTTACATCTCAGGACGCTACACCAAACTCCCGTTTGCATGCTTGGAATCGCACCACAAGGTCTGAAATTAGACATTTTTTAGGATTAGTAGCCTGGATGGGATTAGTAAAACAGCCATCATTGCCTGACTACTGGAGTACAGATGAGCTATTTAGTAATAATTTTGCTTCAAAGGTAATGCCGAGAAATCGATTTGAAATTTTATTACGCATGATTCATTTCGCTGATAATGTAACGGCAGATAAAAGCGACAAATTGTACAAAATATCACCATTGCTGAATATTTTAAAAACAAATTTTCAGTCATTGTATGTCCCTGAAGAATTTATTTGTGTAGACGAAACTCTCCTACCATTTAGAGGAAGACTAGGATTTCGTCAGTATATCAAAACAAAACGGCACAAGTATGGGATAAAGCTATTTAAACTTTGTTCGGGTCTGATACATAATATCAAAATATGCAGGCAAAGAAGACACTACTGTCACTCTGAAAATTGTACTATATCTAACTCAAGGTTTAGTAAATGAGGGACGAACACTAATTATTGATAACTGGTACACTAGTCTGCCTCTGGCCAAAAAAATGTTAGACGCCAATACACATGTAATTGGAACTATTCGGAAAAACCGAAAAGGTCTGCCCAAAGAAGTTGTAAGAGCGAAGTTAAAACGTGGCGAAATTTGTTCCATGGAAAATGACTGCGGCATTACAATTATCAATTGGAAAGATAAGAGAAACATTCTTATGCTTTCTACAAAACATGGAAACGAGATGATAGAAGTGCCATGCAATCAGCACATAAAACTAAAACCTCAGGTTGTAGTGGACTACAACAAAGGTAAAGCAGCTGTAGATCTATCAGATCAATTTGGGGCCTATTCAAATCCACTAAGGAAAAGTGTAAAGTGGTTCCGAAAAGTGGGATTTGAACTTATTCTTACCACATCTTTAATAAATGCGTACATTTTACATAAATTAGTAACAGGAAATAACATCTCTATAACAGATTTCAAAAAAGATGTGGTCAAACACCTAACAAAAGCCGAGGAAACTATAGAAAGTGCCACTCAGACCTCGTGTGTAGAAAACCACATCATTAAAGTGAAGAAAGAAGGAAATAAACATAGCAGAAGAAAAATGTGTAAGAACTGCTACAAAAAAAATCTGAGACACACGGGCGAAAATATGCCATGAATAAAACGAAAAAAGTTGATACATATTGTGAAAATTGTGAAAATCAGCCACATTTTTGTATCAATTGTTTTAATGAAGTTCACGCATAATATTTTATATACGTATATCAGAGATTGTAAGAGTTTCTAAATACATTTTACAAAAAATTAAATTTTTTTATTTTAATCACTTCCTATCAAATAACTGGGACCACGAGGTACTATTTTCAAATAATTCAATGGGCCATTCTTACAGTATATACTTTCTAGGGCACGTGGATCTTTTAGTCTGAGATATTAGACATTATTATGAACCAGCAGCCTAACAAGCCTTAAAAAAGGTGTTGGTCCCATGGGACCAACGTGGCGCGTTAAGGCAACACTAGTGTTGGTCCCATGGGACCAACGTGGCAGGGAACGTGTAAGAAATCTACTCCTTGCAGTAAATACGACAAAAGACAACGTTCGCTAAATCTAGCAGAAAAGAATCGTCTTTTAAGGAATAGAAATATCAATACTACTAAATAATCAGAATAAATTTGTTTGAATTTGTTCACTCTTATCAGAAAATCTAATGACCTTAAAATTAAAATTGATAAAAATCGTAGGTTGAAGTTAGTTTCACGATAATGTACGTGAACTATTGTATTTGAAATATAAAAATACTTCTTAATGCGTGCAAATCGCCTATAGTTATTTCTATCATGTTTCTAAATTTAAACCAAATAAATTGTTTGTATTAAGTCGATCAATTAATGGTCAACGTAATAAAAATATCCCACCCGAATAAATAGATCATTAGCGAGCGAGTCCCTATAGAATACGATCATGTCAAATCGATAAAACATTATTTAATTTGTATTGTGTTTAATAAAAATAAAACAGTCCAACTATAGGAGATTTGACTACTTGATGAAATACTGTAAAAAGTATTCATTGTTACCTTGGCATGTGCATGTGCCGCATTATTACCTCTAAAATTTATATAAGGTACTACATGTTTTCTTCCCAGTCGCGCACCTAGAATTGTCCTCGGGGGGGGGGGGGTGGTGTGTTGGGCACCGAAAATTTTTTATATGCTACCTCCACCATTTTAAGTACTTTAAAATTTGTAAATAATAGTGTCGGAATAGGGTCCTGGGGGGTTTTTGCCCCCAAACCCCCCTGGGTGCGCCACTGGTTCTCTTCCATTCCTAATGTACCTATCAGCTATTAAGGCTACCTCCATTAACATAAATAGATCAGTATGTGCTTCCAAATAATTGCCGCCCATAACATTATACCTCCACCCCGAAACTGTATTGTAAGAGACCGCATATGGTTCTCCAGGCTTTCTAAACACTCTTTCGCGACCATCAACATCACGATCTTTCGTTCGGCAATCTTCTTCATTCTGTTCGATTTCTGGAGAAGTGTTGCCATCTTCTGCTTTTTAGTATTCCCAAGTCGGTCTCAACTCTATATAACCACTTAATTCGCGGCTTCTGCTTCTACTGCTATAGGTATTCCTGTCGTTAGCTTTTTAGCAATCGTATTTAGCAAACAGAAGCTTTCTCAAATCTTTCATTCCCAACCTGCATGAACACGAAAGAATTCCAAGCGTTTTCTTCGATGAGCTGCGCCCAATAAGGGGAATGAAGCAGGAATGAATAACTATCCGCTCTCGAAGCACTTGAAGCCTAAAAAACAGATCTTTCACGGCATTTGTTTCCTCTCCAGGTCTTCCTATACGAACCAGTTTATCGAAATCTCTGTACATCATCGGATATTGTACTTCGCAAAAAGCAAATTATTTTGTCAATATACCGAATTGATTACATTTTAAAATTATTCTTTGTTAATAAAAACACCTCTCCTTCCCGAAAAATTAGCCAACCATACACCACAAAGGAATACAATCAATTTAACAAGTTAATATTCGGTTTATGGAGAGCACCTTAACAAAAACTAAAGAAAAGGAATAAAAACCCAATTACCTTAAAAACGGTCGTGATAAAAGTAAAGGGACAATACAAAAATATAAGACTAGATGGTGATGAGGTCGAATATTGCGTCAGTTTAAAATTCTTAGTTACGCAAACAGTTTAGTCCAAGAGGAAATAAAGGTCAAGGACAACATTGATAAAATATATTTGCAATACTTTGGCCACCCTTCGGCGAAGCAATTCATCAAATCAAAGCCTGTACGTTTTAGCTACAAGGATTGGATGTTGTGCAGTTCTACTGGTTACTGTGATGCTTTTGATACGTTCTGCGGAACTAAGTCTTCAGCTGGCGAAGAACAGATGAAGCAGAAAAAGTCTAAACTGCCACTAGGATCAGAAGTTGTTTTAGACCTCCTGAGTATTATTACAGTTCCAACTGATCACATATTATGAAAAAGACAGCAAATATTTGATTTCACGCAAACAGCGTCTATGTATCTGTTGATACGTATTTCGACCTAATAGATCTCAACAGAACAGTTATTCATAGGCGTTCTCAACGTGAAAAATCAATATTTTCTGTCTTTTAAGAAGCAACACTAAAATGGCTTCAATATGGACGCAATAGCGACATCTGATAATAAATCCGTAAAATAGTTTCGAAACATAATACAGATTTCTGCTTTTAATCTGAGCCTTCTAAAAATTGCAAGGCAAACAGACATTGATGAAGATGTTAAAAGAGACATGGGGAATCTAAAATTTGCAATATAATTATGATCATAATTTAAAGCAAAAGTACTAAGGCTTTAGTATTTCCAGTTTTCTCTCTTGATGGTGGGCATTAATAGGTTAAAAGAATTATTATCGATAGCATAACTTGTAGATTTCTACTTACGTCTTATGATATATACAAAGGCAAGGAAGGCGAGCGATTATGTCACCTTGACTTAAATCTTCTAAACATATGACACATTCTCCTTTATCATCAGTCAGTACATCTTCTGCAAAGAGAAAAAAATAATGAATACATTTTTGTCCATATACAGCTTTTTAAATAGAAAAAATAATATATTCTTTTTAAAGGTATTAAGATAAAAATAGTCGTGTATTTATTGTTTTTTTTTTAATTTACAAATGCATTATTGATTTCCAAAATACGAGTTACGGAATAAAAAATGAAAATTCCAATAATTACGTGCTGAAAACAGGATATGTAGTGAGTCCATAGCGTATATGGCTTAAAATTGTTCTTCTACTTACTAAGGAAGATATTTGGACACACCCAATGCATGCAGCGATGGTTCGTGGGGAATTAAAGTGAACCACGAGCTGGATGAACTAATGCAGAGCGCAGATATTGTTAGATTTATAAAGTCACAAAGACTAAACTGGCTTGGTCACCTAGAAAGAATCCCAGATAATCGAGCTGTAAAAGTAGTCCCAGAGATGGAAGCCCCAAGGAAACAGAACAAGAGGAAGGCCCCTAAAAGATGGATAGACGACGTAGAGAGGGATCTTAAAACCATGAACATCAGGCAGTGGCGAGGAAAGTATCCGACAGGGCAGAATGGAAGAACATTGTTAAACAGGCCAAGACTCACAAAGGGTTGTAGCGATATTAGAAGAAGAAGACTTTTATCCACTTTTTTTTATCTGTGACAGCTCTTCTTTATTAAAACCTTAATTTTACAAGTAGATAGGATATGAGAATTTCAGATCAAAGATGGCGGCCAGCTGGATGGTTAGGTATGTGGCATTGGGGCCGTAGAAGTAGCCTCTGAGGATGTAGGGGATGATGTACAAGAAGTATAAGTGTAGAAGAAGCCTCTACTGTCGTCAAAGGGTTTTTTAGGGGTGAACAGGGTGAGAAGTAGAAAAAAACGTGTTCGTTGAAATGAATAAAGAATTTGCAATCACTTATAAGATTATAGATGCAGATTTGAATGACTAGGTGGTGTTATGGTTTCTTTAGATGTACAAGAAAGCCTCCCTTAACGTCAGAGGGGTGAGAGTGTTCGTTAAAATGGAAAAGATGAGTAAAAAGCTACCAATAGGGCGATATGTAGAAATTTGGTAACAAAATATGGCTAAGTGACGTTAAGGCCTCTGTAGATGTACAAGAAAGCATCCCTGACATCAGTGGGGTAAGTGATCATTAAAATGGAATATCTGCTGTGTATAGGTAATCTTTACCTGTTTCTAATAATTTTTCTGCCATTGTTTTCTTTTTTGTTCCTTTACCAAGCCCCAGAATTTGTTTGACCATTTACTTTTGACATGCGTTCCTCATGACCTAATCAGAGAAATCTCCTTACTTAACAATTTGACTGATTTTCGGCTTCCCATATAACTCTTCTTTGCCTTTGGGCATGGAATCATATATGCCAATTAACCCCTCTTACGGAGCACAGTCACCTTCTCTCTCACTTACGTGGATAATTGTCACGTGGATCTATCACCACACGATAGAAGGTACCGAACGGGATAGTAACGAGAGCCTAAGACATGTTCTACAAAAGTGTCCGACGGCACATTGGCAAATAATACGACGGTATGATCACCGTTACGCAAGTACGTAAAATAACTGAGCAAAGAGTATGGATTGTAGAGATAGAGCCGACGGGACTTTAAAAACTCATGATCTTGTCATGCAGCAGAGCGATCGGGTACTTGTTACAGATGTTGCCGTCAGTTGGGAGGGTTCTGACCGCTTAGTAGCAGCATTAATAAGGTGGCCATTTATACAGAAGCCTGATTCCTTCAGACCATGCAAACCCGATATCCAGGGAAAATTATTTGCATGGCACCTCTCATAATCGGAGTTAGAAACTTTTTGACTTTTTTTTCATTTCAAGCACCATTTCTAAGGGGTTATCACTGGCAAAACTGGTAACCATGTGGGGATGGTGGATGCTCGATTTGATTTGACATATATTCGCTAGAGATAGGTCGGTCTAAAAAAAACCGTTCGATTGTGGTCGATTGGTTTCTGGATGGGAACGGGGGGCAACCAACAAGGACGAGGCTAAATCGATGACAAGGGGTTTGCTCTACATGATGAACGTATCCACCCAACCGGAATGCCTAGTCAAGACTAAATAGGAGGAAACTATACAATTAATTATTCCCCTGCCAATTTATAATGACAATGGTGTTTTGTTATGTCAGAAAAATTTGAAAAAACGAGCTCAGTCCCAGGCAGGTGTTAAGCCACCAGAGAGTTGAAGATTAAGCGTTGATAACGTTGGCGTAAACCAACATTATTCTATCGTTTAAAACACAAAAGACAAAAATACATAAAAATCCATTCGTACGCCAGTTCTTAGAAAAAAAAAGGAAAAACTTTGTAAATAAAATATTAACATTTAATTTTCAAATGAGTATTGTACAGTAATTTACTGCAATTTCTTTATCGCCTTCCTACAACAATCGAGTTTATTTTTAGACGGTATTATTCATTGACGTATTCTATAATATACTTATCTATAATCGAACGACAAGATGGATATAGATAAATTTTAATAAGGAGAAAACATTGTATGTATTTCAAAATATCGACTTATTAGAAACATTCTGTAAATAGTATTCCATCTATTTCAAAAAGCAGGTGGTTATTAGTAGACAATTGTAACGAAATTTTATAGGGATACATTAAGAAAACAGAAAAATCGAAGAAATATTCAGATGGACAGAACAGCTATGTCTAAACCAACCAAATTATGAAAAATACAAATACGTATATACAAAAAATATTAATATCCATCAGTACACACCCTGGTGTTCCTACTATTCAGTTGTGAGTCTGAACAGTTTAAAAGGTCAAGCGTATCATTTTATAAGGAGGTTAAAATCCAAGGCGTTTATCTAATTTCATATGTACAAAGGTTAATACCTTTAATATTATATAGTACTTATATGGCAGAATTAATTGGTACCAAAAGAGTGGCTAAAGGGAATACTACGTCCGTTGCATAAAAAGGGTGATCAACTGGAGTGTAAGAACTATAGAAGCATTGCTCTGTAAGTATCTGCGTATAAAATCTTCGGTCATGTATTGTTTGAAAGACTTAAACATTTTACAAAGGATATTGTTGGTCAATATTCTTTGTAAAATGGACATTTTTTTGTCCACGTCAAAGCAGCCTATGTTGATGTTAAAATAATTCACTATTCTATACCTGTCCCCCCAATTTTTGTCCCTGTTAATCACTTTCAAAGGATTTATATACTATGAACTTTTCAAACTTCAAAACCGTTTCCTTTTCAATCGGTATCGTTTCTTTGACATCACGAAACCGCAGTCGATAGAGAATTAATAAATCCGAAGTCTAGACATTTCTCTCTGAACCGCCGACCAGACGAACCCTTTTTATTTCTCCGCTTTCTCTAGTTCACTCGTTCGAGAGAGTTTTATTTTAATCCAACTCCCTCGTCTAATAACCTTCTACGACTACGAGAGCAGAAAATACATTTCTCTAACCACCTGGTGTTTTGTTTTTCTTTTAACGAACGGTTTGTCAAGAAATCTATTACAAGTTTGTTCACACGGAGAATTTAAGTTATCTGTTTATTATGTGAAAAATATGTAGAATTTTACTTGAATCTGTACTTATCATAATTGAATCGATGAGTTCAAAAACCGTCCATGTCCAAAATCTGCGAGAAAATCAATAAAAACCTTTTAACACTGAAACTACTCAACATAGATTATCAGCATGCATAGAAAAGTTTTAGGTCTCTTATTTTGCAATGTGTTTTTAATGGTAGTTTTTTCAAAAAATAAAATGGACTACCAAAGACAGATCAAAATGGAGGATGGACTTGTATGGTTTTTGAACTCAACCCTATATACAAAAAGAAATAGGCAAACATTTCTTGATTTATTTAAACATTTATTCAATACAAAATATCAAAACTGTTATCTCAATCACTTAATCATTATTTTCAGAATTTGTGCTTTTCCTTGATGTGATGTGGTAATAGAATTCCAATGCTTCACCGTGGGTATAAGTCATTACTTTCTTGACGTCCAGGATTTTTTTTTATTAATTGAAACGGGTTCTTTATACACCTTACTAGTGGGCGAAGGTAGACTGTTCTTATGTTCTTTGAGCAATTTAAAAGTATGGGAGTGTAAACCATCTCTATACTACCATATTTTAACATATCCCGGCATTGAACTGTCATACGGGAATCACTATAGTTTAACACAGCAAATATATCTTTGTTGGAACTAGTACCTCGAGAGCTAGACGTTTTTTTTATAGTAATCAGACCACCAGTTCTTAAAATCAGTAATACCAGTGTATCGGATTTGATTCACAGTAAATGGTTGCCTTGTTCTGGAAGTCCTTATTAAGTCCTCGTATTCTTCTGGAGTATAAATTCGATATGTTTTCTGAAATTCCGTTTTTCACAACCAAAATCCCGGTTACAAGGCAAGAACGAATGGCCTCTTATTGAAAAATAATGATATGTTTTGTTGAATCTCTTGGTTGCCTGTAATACTAAGAGGAAACGAACCATTGCTTGGTTTCGATTCTGCCCCTTCACATCCATCGTAAAACAAATACAGTTCAGTGATTTCAGGGGGTATATGTTTCATAATGTAGTCATTAAGGAATGTAAACACTTCATTAGGTCCCTTCTGACCTTGACCTTCATGGTAGGTATAAAAATCAAGAAGACCAGTATTTTCTTTGAGGCTGTGTATTTGGAATGCGAATACCCAGAGCTGCCTAAAATAAAAGATTTCCTGGACTAGAATGTTCTGTATATAATTGTAACGATGAGTCCAAGCCATCACCGTTAAACCAGCGTGCGCGCGAACCAACCCATGAAGTAGGAGTGTATCGACAGTAGAAAGGGCAAAACTTTGCTATATAAACCGCATTATTTCCTCATAGAGGCAGAATCGTCAGGTGTTGACTGAAGGTTCTCTTCTCCCCTACCCCGGCTTGTGGACGTGTTGAGTTCACAAGTTGTTTCCGTTCCATACCGC